GACATAGTGACAGTTTTATGACAAAGGGGAGAGAGATGAGAAACAAGAAATGTGATACCATTCACTTCAGTCTAAATAAAAAAAATTTAAAATCACAAAATAAATGTTTTTAAATTACTTGTTTTATATTATCCAAAGTATGAAATTGATTTAAGTAAATTTCAAGAAAAAAAACTTTAAGATAAAAAGTCGAAATGGAAAAGCACAAAAGCCAAAACTGCCTTCTGCAAACAATATAATATGAATGAAGAAATTAATATAAAATCGGATATAAAAAATATTTCGGACATTCACTAAAGCGACTATGTGATTGTTGACATTCACCAGTGAAAGTCGGCGTTCTCTTGATTTTGGCTATTCAAGGTAACATTCACATGTATTACTTTGTTATAAAAATAACACTAAGCATCTATGCTTACTTTAATACTTTTGTTACTTTCTCTAAATGCAATCATTACAGATATAAGAACTCTTTTTAATACTCAAAAGGGTACATAAAGTACCCTTTTGAGAGAAAAAAATTGTCAGTGATTGTTAAACCTTATTAAAATGGAAAAATACTAAATATTCAGTAAATTCCTAGTTAGCATATATTAAAAAAGCAACAATAGGTGATTGTTAACAATATTATTTGGACTAAGGGACAGTATTTGAACTAATATGAGTATGAAAAGGACAAAATTACAGAAGAATTAACATAAATGCACAACCCTCAAAAGTTTAAACTCATCAACATTTTAAAAACATATATATCATAATTTTTTTAAAAAAAAATCAAACACCACATTAGAATTAGAGAGATATTTTAAATAGAAATAGTATAATATAATTAACAGGCATATCTTATATAATTTGAAAATTTAACAAATTAAAACTGTTATTAAAAAATTTTTTATGTATCATTAATAGTAATTATATGTATGTATGTACGTGTACAAAATTATATGTATACAGGGTGTTCTATAATAAACATCATTGTTACATAATTTTAAAATCCTTGCCTAAACTTAAAATTAATAGGATTTTAAATGACTGACTGTAAATCAATATTGATATGAGATCAGCAAATAAAAATATTATCGAAATTAGAAGAATTATTACAAAGGTTTACCATTTTAAAAGAGGAATAATAATCAAAACTAATTTCATTGTCAATTGAAACGATTACCTATCACCTTCATTAGATAAAGCAGTTAAGAAGACAGCTATAATTGCTACTTATGGGTTTGAAGTTTTAAGCTAGTTTTAATCAATTTAAACATTAAACCAGAAACTTATCAAATTCATAATAAATTCTGGTGACCTTCCATTATGTGGGCTATTTTTGATTTATAGACAAACACAAATTTAAAAATTTACAATAAGGACAGTGCTTAGAGAACACCCTATATAAAAACTAAACTGAATGATGCAATGACCATGTGTGACAAGAAAAAACAATATATCATTAAAGGTTCACTTATATTCTTATTAAAAAAATAAGTGTAGCTTTTTCTTTTCTTCAAAAGTAGGACAATATGTTGTTTACAGCTACATTTTTAACGATATATACTTAAATGATGCTCCAATAAAATTTATGTCTTAATATAATAGATTATATTTCAATAAAATAAGAAATAATAATTATTTCTTTTTACCATTCTGTACAGAGTAGAAAAATAGTTTAAAATATTAATTTTCTGCTATAAATAAAAAATATATTTGTAAATTAATTTTTTAAATCTTGATACCATGATTGCCTACATAGCAGAAACGCTCTTTAACTTTTCTCACAATTAAAATATACTTTTGTTTCAAGATGTTTCTATAAACCAAAAAGAGAAAAAAAGGGATTTTTTAAAAAAAATTATTTTAAGCCAGCAACATGAATAATAACAGTTCAGGTTGTTGCAATTTAAAAAATGATTTCAGTTTTTAAAAAAAATATTTTTTTGATTTAAAAACTGCCTTAAAAAGTAAATTATGAATATTTGCCAATATATGATTACAAAATATGAATATTGAATTGTTATAATGTCTCAAGACCTGTTCTTGATAATAGTAATAATACCAATGTAACATTTAATCTATTAATATTTAAAGAAAAAGAAAATTTCAGAAAACAATATAGAAGAAACAAAACAGGGTTTTAGAGCATTGTTGGTCACAACAACTGTAATGTTTGAGAAAACAACAATGAATATTAGCACACTGATAATTGAATTTAGACTTTTCTGGAATGAAGACTCATGAAATAAAGTAATTAAAACCTATATTCTATTCAAAGAAATTGATTAAAATAGGAAAGAGCCACCATAGTTTTTAATCAATTAATAATAACTTAAATGTTTCTTGGTGTAATTAGAACAATATCAATTCGTCTTAAAAATTAAAAGTCAAGTATGTATATCATTTTTGAATTAAAAAAACATTTTAAGTTCAGCTCACTTTGTCTTTTGTAGGGCAAACCAAAAAAGTATTTTAAATCTATTAGTCGAAAAAAGTGTCAAAGTTTATCATTTAGAAGCATGCTAAATCTTAGAATTAATGTCTTTAGCGTCTTGAATGGAACCAAAGTTATGAAAATTTGATTAAAACTGCTTAAAATTTAAAAAACTACATACATTTTGTTAATTAATTTGTTTTAATGCTTAAAAGTTATAATTTGTAACAAAAATATCAGTGGAAAATTTCAGAACTATAACTTAGTATCTTCTACCGCCTCAACAACAGATTTTGATTAGTTCATATAAATTCAGGATATACAATTCTATCGTCTTAAAGGACATTTATTAGTCTACTTGAGAAGATATTAGGTTACAATTCTAAAATTGTGTGCAGATATTCGTGCAAAGAAATTTAAGTGATTCAGTAAGCAATTTAACAAACTTTATGTTTTTTTTAAAATTGTAAGCAATTTTAATCACATTTTCACAGCTTTTGGCTAATTTAAATAGCAAATGATATTAATTCAGAGTTATAAAGTATTGCATACTTTTTAATGAGAGTTGACAACTTCTCTGCACATCTGCTAAAAGTTACTTCAACCTCACACGGGTTGTAGATTGTGCCCCCCCCCCCCCTAGACGAGCAACTTCCAATTATTTTACAGCAATGGTATCCTAAATGATGGTCCTTTTTTTTGAAACCCTGACTTTATAAATACATTGGAAAACAAGTGTGAAGATATTAATTAAAGAAAAAGTATTAACAATTTGCAAAATATTATAAGTGAATTATTAAAATTTTTCAATCTTGTCATCTTTTAAAATTAGATTTCATGCCAGATAGTTGAATTTGCACAGCTAGAGAAGTATTTCGTCCAGTTCCAAATTTGTTTTTCGTGTGTGCAAATGCTGAAATGAATGTGGTTTACAGTTTTTGTCAAAATGAATACTTAAAAGAGCTATTATAAATACTTAGAATGTGTTTAAAGAAAATTTGAATTGAAGCGTTTGGTGTAAAATACTAATGCATTTTTTTTTTTTTGTAAATGCTTTTCCGTCGTTTCACAGTTAATTAAATTTATTGTTACTAGAACAAATACATATATATATTCATATTTTAATATTTTTTTACTGGCATTGAATTAAATTACTCAAAAATAACTCAAATTTTAAATAAATAATGGTTTTTGATTATGTATAATTACAAGTTTAAAATATCATAATTTTTAAAAAAAAAATCCTACATGTTAGAACCCTTTTGACTTTTCCACGGAACACATTCATGAAGCCTCCGCCTTTGAATGAAAATAAAAAACAATTATGTATACTGCATAATCAAAGAAAAATCTGAGTTGGTAATGGTATTGTTTCATATTTGTGAATAAAACAAATTTATAACAGGCTAATGAATAAATAAGAAGTTAAATACTTAATAATTAAATTTTTTTTTTAAGAAAAACTTATTGACCAAAAATTTTTAACATTTAAACAAAATTATAAGCCATTCCGTAACATACAAAATTTAAAGAGCAAAAGATAAACTACACACAGACATTTATAATAAAGTGTTAATAAAATCAATATAGCTATTATACAAATACACGTCTTGTATTCTATTGGAGAAAAACAGAAAGTAAAAATATGAAATTAAGTACATCCATTTAAGAACAATTATTCAAGTGAAGATGGAATGTAAAATATCTATATATCAACATCAAAAAAATATTCAATCATCACAAACACTTCAAGAATATAATTAAAATCCTATTTTGTAATCATTCCGATTTCAAATATAATTCAACTTAAAAGTTCATTCAAGCTTTTGAACACCTAATAATAATAAAAATGGTAAAATATAGTCCATAGCAAGAGTGTTAAAACAGATATTACAAAAACAAATATTATGTAATGAAATTAATGCAGTCAAACGTGGATAATTCAAAATTACAGAGAGTTCGACTTTCATGCTCGTTCCTTTGAAATCATAAAAATTAATTAATGGATAAATATAATTTTATTTTAGATAAGTTGAATTTTTCATATAGTTGTAGTTAAAATATTAAGTAGAAAACTTTTCCCGAGATTGTCTTTTAAATGAAAACAAAGTCTTCTTCTTATTGCATTCATTATCAATTAGTTATCTTAAGTCTTCTACCCTTTGGCAAAAGAACAAATTTTACTGCAGTTACAAAAGCTAGCTTTCATCAGAAGATCAGCTATTCTTTTAACCAAATAAATGTGGTAATAATAGATTAAGCTTTCATGCTTTAAATTATGTTCTTAAGGTCTTGCTTCTATCAAAATCTAGAGCTCCTTTGCAATCCATTAACATTAACTGAATAGTTAGCGGCAATTAAGGTAGTGGATGAATGAATTAAAAAGAAATTGAGGAAGAATTTGAAATTAAATCCAAGATATAATCAAATTATCTTATCTGTTTGAAAGAATATATGCAATCAGAATTTAACTGGTCACTATGATTTTGAATGATCTAAATTTGACTAATATTTTTTAGCTTAAATTTTTATGTTTCTTCTTGTCTGCTCACTGTTTCAAATCTTTTTTTTTTAAAAAAATCATTTAAATTTTAATGCAAATCGTTTAAATTTTAAATTTGTTTAAAACATAGTGATATATATTGCTCAAAGTTTTTACGACAAATTTATACTCATTTACCATCCAGTTTGATAGCTCAGCGAAATATTTAAAAATGTAATAATAATTTAACTAAAATCAGTATATCATTGTTTTATAACTTGGATTGCTTTTAATGACCTAAAGAATAATTTTGTTTTGATAAATAAGTTCTAATATTCTAATTAATAAATGATAAAATTTTCTACTAAAACAAAACAATTTGAATTTCAACTATCAATAAACGGTAATAATATAGCATCGCTCATAGCGAATATTTCTCATGAATAGATTTCTTAAATGATCTTTATATTTAAAGAGCTAAAATAATTTTTGCTTAAAATTTTCATTAATTTTTTAAGCAAAATTATAAAGCATTATATATTCAAATCTGAGGAAAGATGCCCCACACATACATTAGGATGGGAAGAAAAAGTGGAAGTATCTTAAATTTATTAATGACTGTGCAAAAAAGTAATCAACTGACATAAATAAAAAAATATGCAATATCTAATTAACTCCAAACACTACCTTGATTGGACCAATTCCAAACTTTGGTGCCGCAGTGGCAACAAAACTATAACAAGGTTATAATTCTAAAATTTCTATAGATATATTTAAGAAACAGTAACTTTTAAAAGCTATCATTAGTCAATTCAAGGAATATGTTTTATTTTTAATTATTTAATTTTAAAGCATTTTTACAACTTTTGAGCCATTGACGTCGGCAGAAAATATTGAGTTATAAAATTTATATACTTCTGCATGTAGTTGACAACTTTTCAACACTACTGCTAAAAAATTTAAGATACTGTGGCATTTTTAACCCACCTTAATATTTATTTAATGCAGGAAATTACTAATTATATTTTCAAACTATATAAATGTTCTTGTTTGTGATCACTAAACAAAGCACTCCAGAAACAGCCAGTTGATAGCCAAGAGAGTATTGGAAGTTATAGCCCACCAATTTTGTGATCAATGGTTGGATGATGGCAATAAAATATACTCGCATGGGTCACTGCTCAGACAAGTGGGTAATTATTGATCTGAAGCTGGATGATGGACCGCTACCTGGTATAGAATTCTGTCCTTCATGATGACAGGCCACTGCCTTAAACCACTATTGATGATGGCTTAGTTTGTGATCATAATTAATTTTAATTTAGTTTTTTTTTTAATAAATTGTCATTATAAAACAGAACATTGTTATTTAAGTAATTAAAAATTTTTATTACTAACCGTACAACCTCAAACTTGTAGATCTCTAAAGGTCCTTTTCTGAATGCATAGATCATAATTAATTATAATGCATAGATTGTAATTAAACATTATAGGAACTGCAGACAACAAATTTTTTTTAACGAAATTAGAAATCAGACCTATTATTTTAGAATTTGGATTGGTGATTTTTTTTGTTTGTTTTGTTTCGAAAATATTGTGCTTTCCTCTCTTTATGTGTGAACAGTAAATTGAAAATAGTGGAGAAATAAAGTTAGTACTCATCTATTTTGAATTCTAATTTAATGATCACAGATGTCAGACAATAGAATCTGTAGCACTAAATCTGCATCTGACATATTTTCTATTTTGTTATTATTCTAGAAATGTGAAAAATTTCGAAAAAACTCAGTCAATCTTTTGATATTTAAACACAACAATTATAAATTGTATCTACAACAGACTAAACATTATACACATTCTTAATGTACATGTGTAAGCGGTACAAGAGCAATTTCAACTGATAACGAGAACAATCCATACAATATTTACATATATTACAGAGTCTTTAAAGTTAATTTAAATCACGCATTTTCACTTGATTGTTACAATTGTCAATGGCCTGCCAAGAGACCAGCACACATTGAGCAGCATCCGAACACTAACATGTATTGGTCCAGTATCAACACATATAACCTATGTTTTTGCACTTCAGGATCACTTTCATGAAAACAACAAAAGATAAAAAGAAAGAACGTGCAAAAAAGTATTTTTACTATAGATATATCCCTATACAAGCTGAGCAACATGATTGGTGGATATGTTTTCTAAGGCAGAATCCTCTTCGGACCTGCTTTTGAATTCTATAACCTCTGTTTAAGGGAATGAATCAATAGAAGACTTGACTAGTAAGCATTCCCAAACAGCCACAGACTAGCACATGACTTTAAGTGGAAGATTATGGCAACACTTCAAGCTCACTCATTTTCATATGTTAATGCCATTTATCAGTTCCCTGCAAATTTCATTATACTGTGAACTATCACCCGATATTCGCCTCATCTTCAAACGCTTGTCATCCGGATGAGGGCCGTCACAAACTTCGAGTTCTATCTGAACACCTGCCGGGTGCTCGACGGCGAGTCCCCTTTCCGATCGCTGCAGCATCATCGACAACCCCCGGACGATCGGGTCCAGCTGCTGCTGAATCTCTTGCAGAATGTCCGCTTCGCAAGTGAAAGAGCGTTCAGTTGTTGGTAGAGACACATGGACACTGCCGCTGGGAGTTTTGTGTAACTGATGCTCTCTGAACACAGATTTTTTACTCCACCAGTTCGAAGGCTTTCCGGCCCACGGATTGGGTGTAGGGTCACTGGTAGAAATGTGTTGACCTAAAGTTTGACGACATAATTTTTTACCCATGGGAGATGAGATATGACCAATAGGAGGAAATGTTTGCCTCAAATGCTTGGCGTGAACGTAGGATTGTCGTATTGACTGTTTGGTTGCCCATCGTAATAATGACTTAGAACTTCCACACATGGCAAACTCGGTTGCTATATCCCTATCCTCTGCCTCCCTACTACTTTGCCGTACAAAGGCTCTACGGCCACCTCTCACGACGTGTTCGTCGATGCTAGCCGACAGCTGATACCGTTTCGGTACAGCCACCTGCACCACATCACTTTTCTGACGTTGCAAAAGCTGCTTTCGAGGAGCAGAGTCGTGCAAAACAGTTTGTCCAGTCAATGATGCAGAAGTTACCATCACATGACCCGTTTCATCAGTAATACTGATTTGCGGATATCCCATCTGCCTGCAAGTCGGTGACGACCGATCGTCACTAGTGACCACAGTTAACATTGTATCACTTCCACCAGGTATAACATGATCTGAAATGTCCTCCTGTATCATTTCTAGATTCTGGTAACTGACAGGAGGGGGACTGTTACCACTTTGCTGGGGGGCATAAGTCACAGAAGTGTATAAGTGAGTAGGAGAGGATTGTTGCTGAGGAGAGGTACAAACTGGTAAACGTGTAGGAGAAGTATCGGAAGGAAATAGAGGCAAAGGAGATGTTGGACTACTGTGGTGAGGTGTAGACATAGCTTGTATTCTTTGGAATGCTTGTAAAGGACACTCTAAACCCGTGAAGGTTATAGGACCACCAGCTTGCTGCTGTAGATGAAGATTCTGAAGGTGTTGAGAAAGAGCAGAGGGGGAACCTCCAACATTTGATTGGGCCTGATGAATGGGTGAACCCGCAATAGATGGGGGAGAGGAAATAGATGTAAGGTAACCAGAAGGCTGCAGTTGAGCCATCTGCTGTATGTGAAGACAATGTTGTCTCTGCATTTCAGCTGACACTCTTGAATCCATTGCTCCAGAATGCATTTGCTATAATTTTAAATAAAATTTAATACAGCACTTACAATATCATTAGTAAAACTCATAATACATTAGGATATGAATAAAGCAGAACAGCATTGATCTACCAAAATAATAACTAAATTTTGGTTTTCTATAGCAGTCTTAATGCTGTTAACAAATAACACAGTTAGTGAAATAGCGCCTGGTTTTTACTCCTCTATTTTGAATCTCATTTTCCCTTACAATTGGTGGTTTTCCTGATACTCCTAGTGCGCACAAACCCTGTTTTTAGTGAATTAAGAAAATAATTTATAATTAACTACAACTTTAGCACCAACATTAAATAGCGTCACTCCATATCCAATTTGCAGATATATATTGCTTAGGGGAGCCTGCTATTCTTGATGGCGAATACCCTTCTATATGTGGCAGAATCCTGAACTTATACTTTCGGCTTTTTTATGGAACATTGGCAAGTAAATTTACTAAAAGTTTTACCATGTACGAAAAAGGGCAACTCCCACTGAAACGGTAGACAAGATGATGCAACTCAAGCATAGACGGAAAACTATAAGAGGTAATATTACTCGTCTTTCAACTGACATTGATAATTTTAAAGAGGATTCTTCAATTGAAGATGCCTAATAAATTTGTAATCGCTTAACAACTGCCTTAGGCATAAAGAAAATACAGAATACAGAAAAAGAAAAACTTATTTTTCAGTTGTTTTAAAAGTAAAGAACAGTAAGTGCATGTTCATGCCAAGCTATTATTCTTGTTTCTCAACATCTATAGACAATTAAGCAGCTGTGTAATTTTGAATCTAACATAGAGAAATTTTGAGAGAAATCAACATATTACATAAAAAGGAAAATCACATAAGCCTCAAACAGTTAATTTGCCAATGAAAGGATTTAACCTCTGATACATTACCATTTTGAACATTTTACATTAGCACATATTGCTACGCCATTGCCCAGTTTGAAAACAGGATTGATTTATTGGGAAGTTATTGTTCTAACCTCTCAGCCATCTCCGTTCTCCTTTGTCACATTTGGTATTAATGAACTGATTTAGAATAATGAACTGAGATCACAGAACTTTTTTTTCTTTTTACCTGCAACTGTTGATATTCCTGGAGAACAGCTTTAAAACTGTCAGGACTCGTCTGTGGACCAGTGAGGGTCTGGCAATAGATTCTATCAAGTTGATTCCTGTAATAAGTGACAGGTGAGCAGCCATCACTTGCTCGTCTAACTGGGGAGTAGCGCCCAGACGTCGACTGTAAAGAAGCAGTCTCTCGCAAACTTTCACGACCTGAGAAGACAAAGAAAATGTTACTAACAACACTCAAATGCGAACATTAAAATTGAATGGATCACATCATAAAATGCTGTCAAAGATATCAATCATTTTAAAATTACTATTAAAACAAAAAAATAGTTCCTAAAGTAAATCAATGAGAAGTAAAAATGTAAAACCTGTCTTAATTTTTGTAATTGCTCCATTAGAGAATATAAGAGGTGAAAGTAGATTTTACTGTATACATTGATAGTTAATGCATTTTTAAATTTTTTATTATGAATTAATTTACTTATTTTGATTTTATTATATTTTTACCTAAAACAAATAATAAGTGTTGTTTATGAGCAATGGGGATAAAATATAGATCAAAATTTTAATACAGACCAAAAAAAATAATGTTAAGCCTTTTTGAGACGAAAACGATTAACACGAATACATACTTAAAATGTAGGAAAACAGTTGACCTTTAAAAACAATAGTTATATATTTAAAAACAAGATTCTCCCATTTAAGACGTAACCTAATCAAAACAAATCGCTCATTATAACCTTTTTGGTGGCCTTTCTAGTGAAAATAAGTTTGCTTTTCCAGAATTGATTTGTGCATTTGTCCAAGGAACTGATGTGGGGTCAGTGTTAGTTTACATCAAACTGCAATTGGTAAGTCACCAACAGAACACTTGAGTGGGCTTGGAGCTTCGACAACAAACCTAGTTACATCGGCATTGCCGACCTAGGCGGTGAGATGACAAGGGAAGAAAAAAAAAACAGAATTGCATTCTTTTCCTGGTGATTGTAAAACTCTTTTGCAAGTGTTTCATATAGTTGCCAGCAACTTGTTGATTCTAGTTGTACTGATGCTTTAATGGTGAAAGTGAGTAGTAAAAAAAAAGTCTGTTTTGAAATTAAGTGGAAGATTTTATGTGAAGTTAATCATGGGATTTAATAAAACGTAGAAATTGTAGGAAAGTACATAAACATACTGATTAGCTTAATTACAATAATATTGTCCTATGTATATCATTTAAATCATATATCTTTAAATCTGTTTAATAATCATATATCATAATAATCATAATCATATATCTTTAAATCTTTTTGTTTTTAAATCTTTTTTTTTAAATTCAACCTAAATTTATTTCGCTGCCCCATCAGTTAATACAAATTTTGGTTGATTAAAAAGGATATTTTCAACCCTTCAACTTTGTGTTGATAAGTACATAACAAATGAGATCCAAAAATTAATAAGGAATAAAACATAAATAATAACGAACAAACATTCATGTGGAATAGGTAACAGTCATGAGTAGAAAAAAAAAGTTAAAAACAAGACTTAACCTAAGTTACAAACAGCAATATCATTAGACAAAGAGGAGATAAAAGAAACTTTAATGCTGTTATACAATGGAGAATAGAGGAAAAAATAGTATCTATGGTTACTTAGTATATAAGTAGATACCTCGCAAAATAAAAAAAATATTAAAAAAATTAATTAATCTAATAACTTTTTGGCAAAAAATTAATATAAAAATGAAAATGTTGATTTTGATGTTGAAAATGTTGATTTGTTTGTTTTATTTTATAGCAAAAACATTTATAGTTTTAATACAGAAAGATAATGTTGCACAAACAAATGACTGACATAAGTCATAGTAATCACAGAAAGATTTTACTTCATGGTTGAGCGACTAAGAAGAATGGCAAAGTGTAAAATCCGCATTAATTTCTGGATTGTAATACATATTATACTAAGTTATGTTTAAACATTTCAACGAGTTTTCTGTTTAAAAAGTTAGAAAAATCCACACACATAAAATGTGTTAATGCCAATAATGTATACAATAATTTTGAAAATACACCATTAGTAAAATTGTAAAATTAATGGTTCCATGCCACTATGTAAAGTATTATTCAACATATATTACATAGCTATTAAAATAACAAATTATAAACTGTTTTTTTAAAAACCTAGTAAACTTTTAGAAAAATAATTCAAACTATTTTCAGATCATATTAGTTAAAAAAAAATTTTTTTTTTGTCTTCATGCAATTTTATGAAGCAAAAAGCACTTCTAAACATAGCAGGGCACTTAGAAGTGTAAGATCTATATTTATATAAAGGCAATATTGCACAGTAGGGAACTGATTATCTGGAACCATCGGGACCATCGTTATTCTGGATAACTGATTTTTCCGGTTTTCAGAATCGCTACAAAAAGCCATTTTTTTATTGTTTAACTCAACTAAAAAAAATAACATTTGGAAATAATCTTAAAAAGAAGAAAAAACAATGAAGTAATACACTAATGATTATTTCCAAAATGATGGTAAGGTAAACATCTTTCAAAAATGAAAGAAAAATCCTAAAATCTTATGAGGAAAAAAGAACATTTTTTTTAAAAAAATTGCGGAAAATTTATTGAATTTCGTTCCGGTTTTTTGGTTTTCTGATTTCTAGATAACGGGTTCTGTACTGTAATTTATAATTAATATTGCAATAAATTAAATCTTATATTACTAATGACAAGATACCAGGGTTCGTGATTTTTTTGATTTTTTAAAAAAAAATCGAAAAAATCGGATTATTTTGATTTAAATCGGATTTTTTTGATTTAAATCAGATTTTTTTGATNATAAAAATCAGTTGATTTAAATCAATGATTTTTTTAAAAAAATCATTTGATTTTAATCATGATTTAAATCGTGATTTAAATCAAGCTGATTTAAATCAACGAACCCTGCAAGATACCTTTATTATCTTTGTAGACAAAAGTAATAGTAAAAAGAAAGAGTTACTGACACAGACAAGTAATAGAAGACCAGTCACCAAGAATATTAATCCCGACACCACAAAAAACAGGGTTCCCAACATTGAATTAACTTACCAGATCCATTGGTACAAAATAAGTTGTATTCCGTTGGGGGCAGAAAAAATTGAAGTTGCTGACAATATCTGTATTTCACAGCTGAAGATTAATAAATTGATGAGATTAATAACTGATAAATTATGATTAATTTATGCTTCATTTTAACAAAATTGAGAGTCGGAAAAATACAAACCAGCTAGAAGAATGTGATGAAAAGGCCGGGTCATTACTACCACCATTTGACGTCTGATCTAAATTGAGGTAATGAGGCCTAATTGATGGTATAGTGCGTGTTAAAATACAAATTTTTACAAGCAGAACCCTTAGTGGGATAAGGATGAAGTTAAGGTACAGTTGTCGATGGCAAATTAATGCAACAATAGCCAAACCAATAAAATTAAAAAGCTTATCAGAAGAAAAGTCATCATCATTTTGGATTTGAAGTTGGATTTTCTGGTTTTTATTTATTTGGTTCAAAAAAATTTTCATAATAGAATAACATTAAACAGCACAATGCCTTCATAAAAAAAGTGAGAGGTATTGCTTTAAACGCAGAAGAACTAGCGCATAACTTTCACGGATTTTATCTCAGGAATTTAGCAGGTAAACACATATGATATTAAATTACCTTCCTGAAAATGTTATGAGAAATAAATTTTAAAAAAACATACAAATCAGCAGAAGCATTTAATTAATTTTTTTCCCTAGCGGCTGGTACTGAACTTTTCGGTCTTTGCCTTAAATGATGCGCAAACCGTTGCTCATTTAACGTTACTCGGGGTGCGCCTGTGCGATTCATGGAGGCGAGCAACATTACCCACATCACACTGCACAGACCCATTCATATGCTGCAATTTATTCATACAACAGAGGAAAACACACAAGAGAAACATGTATGACGTGAGCAGGATTTGAGCATGCAATCATTAGTTTCCAAGTCATGAAAATAACCTCTCTCCACATCGTGAGTCAATGAAATAACGTGGCAACTTAAATAAGCAACTGGTCACTGATCACATTATTTTATTTATTTATTAAATATAGTTTTATGATAAAAGTATATCAATGCAGAAAGACTCAGGAAAACAGAATTTTCATTAAAATGCATAATGTATCCATTCAAAATTTTGATCCTTTAGAATTCATCAATTTGTGGTGAAAAGATTTATGAGAAAGGAGAGTTCCTTAACAATTCAAATATTTCAAAGTTGTAGATACTTTTAAATAAGACTTTTAGGTATATACCCAGATACTTTTAAAAAAAGTACTTTAGTATGTTTAACTCAATTTTGTCACATATATATATTATTTTTTTGTTGAATTAACTTTTTATAAATGTAGCTAATTTCTAATATGATTTTATCAAGCAAAAAAAAAAATTTTAAAAATAGGCTATTAAATAAAAAAAGACTTATTAATATTTGTCATTGACTCATTAGGTTTTAGGAAAAAATATTCGAGTCTACCAGCCACCGGCTACTAATTGAAAATTCAAATTTTCAAGTCTACTCTTTAGCTTCAAGCAGCCGTAAGGGGCTAAACTGTGTTAAATTGAATATCATAAGATATCAGAGGTAATGAAATCAAAATTGTAAACTAAGTCTTATGCAGAAATAGGAAAAAGAAAGAATAAAAAAAAAAAAAGAAAATTTTTTTAGGGTACCTAGGAATCATCAAGCTTTTTATAAACCAAAAAAGATAAATCCTCTGAAAAGGTTTTTAAGTGACAATTTGAACTCACTGAACTTGTTATGGTCAGCTATAAGTATAAAACATGTTATTCATCCAAGTTTTTAAAATAAACAATTTTTGCTTTCTAAAATAGCTGATTTCTTCAAATTCACTAAAATATTACGAATGATGTTTCGTTACTTAACATTTTGAGAAACTACAATTATGTGAAAATGAAGCATAAATTGTTATAACTGTGCTTAAAACAAAAATATACTTTGATGGAAAACAAACATAGAATCTAAATACAGTTCACAAATACATAAAATTTCTAAATCGTAAAACTTTTCAAGAACTCAAAATATTAATAGTTTCAGGAAACTAGACTTACCGGCTGGTTTTTCATTCATGACGGTCAGCAGACCCGTCCTCCTTTGTTTCATTGGAGGCATCTTTTTCTGTGTTTCCTCTGGCGGACTGATTCCAATGCGAATATTCTGAGGTTGCTCCCACACTGAGTAACTGTAACAAAAAAATTAAAACAAAGAAATGAATATCATGATATCTGAAACAACAAACATTTATGAATAAAATCAAAATAAATTATTCCATTATATTACTTTTCAAGCACTCAAAAAATATTTTTAAGCACTTTCAAAAAGTATCATAATTAGGCAGGGTTGGAAAGTTTTTGACAATTGACAGTTCAACTTGTTTTAACAGTCATGTAAAAAAAAAAAAAAAAAAACCTTATGACATTGTTTTTGACACTTGTCAAAAATCATGAAATTTTGAATCAAGTAAAACGAATGGCGTTTTCATATGCTGCGGATTGACAATACGCCGAAATAGAGTGGGGTTGAATTAATTGAGAAAACGTAGCAAAGAACAATGTGAACTGTGTCATTTTACATAATTCGTAACGAAAATCAACATGGTAAAGGAAGAATCTCATTTTGAAAAAGGAAAAATTAAGCACTTTTTAAAAACACCAATGAAAAACGCACCTTTAAGGGCTTTTAAAAAACGAAAATCGAAAATAAGCACCTTTAAGCACTTTTTAAAAACGCTACGCACCCTGATATATACATAATTGTTTAATTACCACACTCTTAAGTTCTGAGAAAAGAATTAAAAAAAAATCTGATTGATATTAAAATTAGCCTACATCAGTATCCTATCAATGGAAAACATTTTTCACAAAAACTTCAGATGTTCCTAGGTATGATTAGTGCTAGATATGATTACCACATGAAACAATACTATAATACTTATTCTTATCGATAATTACAAAGAAATTATTTCAAATAATTATTGCTAATTCCATATTTATCCTTAGACATAGCGTTCACAATATTTAGTGAGAATGGACTTACATTTTCTTTTAATGAAACAAAATAAAGCACTACTGCAACAGCCAGTTGTTGTCCAAGGGATAGGTGTAGGTTAAGATACCATAGTTTTGATACAAATGACATGGTAGTAAGAGGAACAGCGGCAAGACACCTCCACTATCCACCTTTTGCTCCCAGACAAACTAGTACCCAACAGTTTGAGACCGGTTCAAGTTGCCACCAAGAATAGAACCCATATTCTGCACAACGATAACTCATTGACTTAACCACTGGGACTGGGGGGTCTTTAGCAGGCGGGGTTCGAACCCACAAACTCTCACTTTAGCTTTCCGATTGAACATTTATGTTAATTGAACACTTTAGCTTTCTGATTGTAATAGTTGTAAAAATATAAAAATTACAAAACTCAATGTTTTAAAAACAGACAATATATTTATATTTTATAATTTCTGCATAATTTACCAACAAATAACGTTATTATTGAATTAGACTTTTGTCATGAACTATTAACTGCTAAATAAAAAATAATAGGAAAATACTAGGACTCATGAGCATTACATAACATTCACATCACCTCGAGAGTTGCAAAATCTTTTTGGTCAATAGTTAATTATTTGATTATCACCCAAACCCAATTAAAATAAAATTTCCTTAATATTTGTTCATTAATATATTACATATCAATCAGTCTCATGTACTTTTTTTAGAGATAAACAAGGTGTTTTTATTATTCAATAGTTAAACTCGCAAGAAATGTGACTTACCTACTTTTTTTTTTTTAATTGACAGATTATAATTGAAAAAGTTCAACATCATATAGGAAAAAAATAGAGCAATGGTGCAATTGAAGGTCGTTAATAATTAAATTATTGAGAGGAATTTTAAGTATAATCAAATAAATCTGAAGTTCGGAGATCCATGGATAATATAACAGGTTGATTAGTAGAGCTCATTTATATTTACAGAGAATAAAGTATATCTGGATCTGCACGAATAATAAAATATGTTATTTAAATAAATATTACTAAGTAAAGCAGCTAGGAATTAATAAAAATGATAAAATAGTGAACTTGTTAATCTTAATAGCGGCATGGAACAGACACGATACATTTTCTAAATTAAATATGATAGTTACGTGAATACTAGGAGACTAAGTCCTCTGTTCCCTGACGCGCAATGACCTGGATGATTGTTTGGCAATAATCAAGAGGCATTGTTCTTAGCATAAAACAATTTTTTGTTCTTAGCATAAACACAGTGCAAATTATTCAACAAAAAATAATCACCTTTTATGCACTTTTCAAGCACTCAAATATTTTTATGCACTTTAAAAAATATCATTAATCAGGCAGGGTTGGAAAGTTTTTGACAACTGACTGTTTTATCTCGGTCATGTCAAGAAAAAGAAATAGAAGAAAAAAACTTTTGGTATTTGTTTTTGACAATTGTCAAAAATCATGAAATTTTGAATTGTGTAAAACGAATGGTGTTTTCAAACGCTACGGACAGACAATATGCCGAAATAGATTGGGTTTGAATTAATTGTGAAAACGTTGAATAGAACAATGTGAACTGTCTTTTTGCATAATTCGAAGCAAAAATCAACATAGTAAAGCAAAAATCTCATTTTGAAAAATGGAAAATTAAGCACTTTTTTAAAAAAATCAAGGAAAAAAGCACCTTTAAGGGCTTTTAAAAAACGAAAATTGAAATTAAGCACCTTTTTAAAAAGCTACACACCTTGATAAAACAATTTTTTCTCTAAGAAGTGATATTGCTCCATTGCAATCTATACACTAAAGAGAATTCTGTTTGCTTATGTTTGTGCTCCCACTTTCTGCGACCGACATTCATGCAACTTGTGCACGCATTACACTATGCATGAAACTGATTTGTTAAGTTCTAAACCATTTAATGAATCTTGTTAAAAGGCAATTTATAATGGCATATTAATGTACTTTACACCAAAAAATAATAATTGTAAAACAGTAACTAAGTTTAGATACTGAAGGAAATAAATTTAAGGTTAGAATGTAGGGCAATAAGGTAATATGATAAAATTAGATTATAATAAAAATATGTTATAATAAAGAAACAAGTCTTTTAGAATTTAATTATTGATGTAGAAAATAATCAAAATTAAAATAACAGAGAAAAATAAGAAAAATAAATACTACAGGTACATTTAAATTCAGGATACAAAAATATTATACAAGAAAACAATACTTTTATCAGCTGATAAAAAAAAGCTTTTAGTAGCTGATAAAAAAAAATAACAAAAAAAATTTAAGAAAACTGGATTTGTTATTTTTCAGCAAATAAAAATGTACCAACAACAATGGAAAATTGTGACATCAGTTGATTTTTAAATACAGTCACAAATGGTCAGTCAAAATGATATGACTAAAAAATACAGTTAAACTAAAAAATAATGATGTTAGTTCTTTAGGAGACAATAGGTAAAAAAAAAAAGAGTTGATGATTTTTTGCAACTGGTTGCAAAATATACGTTTATGCCTAAATTTTGGTGAAATTAGTTGCCAACAACAATGGATAACTGTGATATCATCAGTTGATTTTTATATGTAGTCAACAATGACATGAATAAAAATACAGTTAAACTTAAAAAATGTGATGTTATTTCTCTTGTAGCCAATCAGTAAAAAAAAGAGTTGAGGATTTTTCAAAACTGGTTGCAAGATATATGTTTATGCCTATATTGTGGTGAAATTTGTCGCCTTAGTAGCGTTTTTCTCACATTAAACGTTTCAGTTGCTGCTATTTTGTGCACATAATTATATATATAAATAGATATATACCCTTGAACAGTTGTGTCAGTCATTAGCTGTTCTTCCTGTTCTTGGTTCTCATCTTCATGAAGTGCCAAAGCCTGAAGACCTTGAGGTAAAGTGCTGTTTGGGGACATCTGTGAAAGGAATAAAATATTTGTAACCTTTTCATTTTTAATAAATAGTAAACATTTAGTTGATTACGTACTAAAATAATAATATTAATTTACTAGAAATACTCGATACTAAAATACTAAAGTACTAGAAATACTAAAGTAATAATATTAATTTTACTCGACTGCTTTGCTTTTAAAATTCTTTCACCACAAAAAAAAAAATACACAGTTTGGGAGCTTTATACTTAAAATAAAACATTCATTTCTTACCATAGGACAATTCCACCATTTAGCAAAGTCATACTTGCAGATTTTAAAAGTAGAAAACTCAGTTTCAAAAAAAATCTAGCGGTTCTAATATTTTTTAATAACGTAAGTCTTGGTGTCATTTACGTGTATCTCAATTTTTGGTTGGTTGGTTGGTGTCGCATCCTCTATTAAATCATATGTCATGGTGTGCTTGAATAGTTTTTGTAATTTCTGTGGCATTAAATGAATACAAATCCTCTTCTGTGGGGTAGTTTAAGAGGTGAAGGCCTGCAGCGACTGCAGGGCAGTTAAAAACATGTTATGGTGTCAGTTCCACATTAAGACAGTTACCACTGTTTTGATATTTTCTAGTCCCAACTGTAGAAATTTTCATATTTTTAATAAGTTATATTAGTTTAAAGATTTTTTTAAAAAATTAAACATGGGTGTTATAAATGTGCCACCTGCAAATAGCCAGTTTTCAATTTAAAAACAAAATAAATTTTAAAAACTTTCTAAACATTTTAATAAGTGGAAATGACACAAAGATTTATCAGGGGTCTATCTAGGTTTTTTCGAGAGGTACCTATTTCGTTAAAATTTAGACACAATTAGTGAAAATTTAGGCATAATTTATGAAAATTAAAAATTATATTAAAAATCAACACAAAAAAATGGAAAAAATATGGATTTATCAATTCTTACGGGATACAAAAATAAAATTTTTAGAAAAAATATTTTCCTAAAGTTGAATTTGTTAAGGTACCACTAAACGGTAGTAAATTTGGCCTAAACAGACCCCTTATTTTCTAAAAAACTATAATAACTGCTTGAATTTTATTAACTGAGTAATAATTTTTTAAAGTTTGGTAATACAACATGCGTAGAACAGGGATGAGATNCCACTAAACGGTAGTAAATTTGGCCTAAACAGACCCCTTATTTTCTCAAAAACTATAATAACTGCTTGAATTTTATTAACTGAGTAATAATTTTTTAAAGTTTGGTAATACAATATGCATAGAATTGCCAGATAGAAATTCTCACAGAAAATAACAGTTTAGACTTAAATTAGCAAATATTTTGAATGTTACGAAAATAAAACTTAAAAAAGAAAAAACAAAAGAGATTTCTTCACTGAAAATTAAGTGATTAAAATTAAGATTACTCAATTCTTGCATAATTTTTAGAGTCGAAACAATGCAATGCTAAGGTAATTTTTAAAAATTAGATCATAAATGCTATCTGTTTTTCAAATTTCTGTGGTTTTTCTTTATGTTGAAATTTTGTCATCATCAGCATAAAGAGTGCTAATTGGACAAAATTAAACAGTTATTAACTCTAACAGTTTCTACAAATAATCTCTTCAAGTTTTAAAAGTATGTACTCTTATTGAGTTTTCACAACAACAACAAAAAAATATTTAAAATATAATATTTGAACGAAAACCTTACAGTTGCAGGTCTTTCTTTGTTCGGCGACTGCCCTTGTTGTCCAGGTTTGCGTTGATAGTAGTTGTTTGATGTGTTGGCACATCCATCTGAAGCTCGACGACCAAACCCTCCGGCTATAAAATAACAAATATTTACAATACATTACTTATCTTTTTAAACAAGAATGAATAGGATATAGAATGTCAGAAATTAAACATCTCGAGAGGGGGGAAAGAACAAAAAGTCTGAATAGACCTATCAACTTAAAGTATGAAAGGAATAAATAAAAAGGTGTAAGACAACTTTTGCACAAAAAGAAAACATTTAAATTATTTACATACTTNTTTTTTTTTTTTTTTTTTTTTTTTTTTTTTTTTTTTTTACAATAAGAGTTTAGTGGCAGCCCACCCGACTGCTAAATTTTAGGTATAAATTTTGATTAAAGATAATAAAATGTAAGCAACAATATACAGTAAAAATGTTAAGAATTGAAATCTTTAAAGTTTAAAAAGTTGGAAGAATCTTAGGCATGTCAATGAAAAATTTATCATTGTGTAATTACTATATAAAATGTATGCAATTGTTTGCTTATCCTTAAGCTAGACCAGATCTATGAGTCCATGTACATTTATAAAATATATTCTTGCAGTAAACCTTTAAAAAAATTAATAAACGCTAAAAATTAATGGTAGCATCTCATGGTAGAGTGGTAGCGCTTCGTGCTCCCATGCCAATCCTCGTGCCGGGAAAGGTTGACTTAGTGTATCGATAAAATGAGTACCGAGCGTGCATGGGGGTTTAATTTTCCTTGCACCCCACGGTCAAGAAAACTGAGATGAGAACAGTAGTCCTTGGCCTTCGATAGGCGCCCACACCACTGAATTTAGTTTAATAGTTAATAGCCTTCAAATACTATAAACAGTTCCCACTAATATTTCGTTTAGAAAAATTTGTTAAAACAAGAGGTAACAAATACAGAACCTATTGATAATAAATTAAGGAAAATTTTAGTGCCATTCAGCAAAAGCACTAGAAAATAATGTTAATAGGCTGCCATAGCTGATGTGTAAAGGTTATTAAGTATAGTTTCGAACCTAACTCAAAAGAACTCTTGAATCAATCATTAAAATAAACTAACCTTCACAGAGGATTTTTTCATAGAACTAACTCGCATGCATATAACATGTAGAGAAAAATAATGTTATATCGTCATATTACACAAAGAGAAAAATGAAGCTACACATCTCATTACACCTTGAAGACAACGAAGTTCTAAAACATGTCTACCTCTGAGGATATTGTGCACATGGTCAACCGGCGTTAGGACGCAAGTCCATGCTGAGAGCCCGTAGCACGGATTATTAATGCATACCTGCCAACTTTCACTCTTTCCGAGAACGGATTTTCAGAGTGGTTGTAAAACAATAAACGAAAAACAATCTGACTCAAAAATATATTTATATTTTGCTCCCGTTGAAATTCGCTTGAGGAAGGATTATTATGCTTTGATATATTTATTGTAATTATTTATATGTAGTGGTGGTCAAACTCATTTATAATTATCATTATAATTCAAAAAGTTAATTGGAATAACCTGAGTATTGCTACCACTTTAAATATGAAAATAAAATCTTCCGGAA